TCACCGAACCGTTGACCTAATTTCACATCGTCTGTCCTCTTTTATCCAAGGCCCGGCCGCGCGTGCAAGCCGACTGTCCTTGTCCAACCACAGCAGCCATCTTGAAAACCTGTCAGATCTTGCATCCGTTGTCTTCATTAATTTAATTGCGAAAAGTCACAAAAAACGCGGAATTTTAATGTGGAACGTTCCCGATTAATCAAAATTATCCGTAAATAACGTTCAATGTTTATAATTAACACCACGAATACCGGAAACACACCGTGGAAATGCCGCGTAACACGCACATCACATTTTCGATATTTAACAATAAATTAACACAATATTTAATAAAAAAACACAACAACAGCACTCCCGGCCACGAAATAGATACTAATTTACAAAAAACGCGAATAAATAAGCCGCTTTTCACCGCGTTGTGAAACTAACCACGGAGCGACCACGAAACACGTCCGCTCTCCTCGACGCGTCGAGCGCAGGCCCTCCAAACCAGTGATGCCAGAACCGTGGGACGTGGGACAAATCTTTACCCTCTCCACGACGTCCCACGACGTCCCAGTGACTCCCCTACCGCAGTTGTTTCATCTAACACAAGCGCGTTGTCCCACGTGTCCGTGTGAGCTCTCTGCGGGTTTGGCAGAGTTCGGCTGCTCTCGTCATTTCTACGTTATCGGCTCGATGCTCAAGCCGCTAAAGCACGTGGCAGCAGCATCGACGAATCGACAAAATAATATAATTTTGTGCATGGCAATATGGCTGAATTAAGAAACCAGGAGAATCAGTTCGAATCCCGATTTTACGGTTTCAGTTCTGATTCTTAATACATTAACGTTTTTCTAATACATAAAAATACATTTTTGATACATTAATACTATGAAATACATTAACTTGGAAAGCAGTTAAAAAAAAGAGTTGAACTGCATCTTTCTTTGATATTTTTTTTAATATTTAAGTTTTATATATATACATATGTATGTACGTACATATGATAAAAGTACGTGATACAGAAGTAATTTCTTCAATTAGATATTACTGTTATTCTAACTATTACAATACGTAAATTCGAAGACATACGAGGAAAATTGGTTAGGTTAAATTGTAAGGATATAAAGAAATTTCAATCTTTAACGGTTTGTCAGTTTTATTTCTTATTCCTTACAACTATTATAATTTTATTCTGTGAATGGTCATTACAATGAAAGATGGATTAGATACAATTTGATTCCTCATTTAATTTGTTATATACATATCAGGTTTCTTGCAACTATTGTACCTGGTCCACGCTTACACGATATTGCATATTTTACTTTCCTATAATACAACAAGGAAACAAAACTATAATATAGTGATTACCATAATACAATACAAAATGTTAAGCTTGGTATAAACCTTGTTTTTTTTGTGTACTTAATCTGCAGTTACGCTTCGTTGCTTTATAATGACAGATTTTTCTTTTAAATGAAACTTCCACTAGCGTATTGATGAAATTTTTCGATTAAAACAAGATGAAACACGACATAATTTGAATTATAGTTACTTTATATATTTGCATTAGGTTTTAAATAAATAAGTAAATATAATGCAAATTATGTCGTGTTTGGTCTTATTTTAATCAGAAGAACCTTCCAATTACATTGGTAAAAGTTTCATTTAGCAAAAATGAAAAATAAAAAAGTTATGGTTAAATTAATATTGTCTCACTCAAATGTTTTTTCTCGGGCCCTTTAATTCTCGGACCTCTTTCTCTTTCGCTATTTGTCTTTTTCTACGTTCGCCAGCATTCAAGAACTCGCTCGAGCTGTGTTGTTCTGCCAGCCTCGCACACTTTTAGGAGAATCGGGAAAATCCAGCATAATAACACGTTCTATGCTGAAAGAATATACTAACTTATCTGTTTAATAAACTTTTAATAAATCTGGCAATAGATTTATTTTCTGACTGTTTTTCTTAAGTAATCAGAATTTCACCATTCTCCTGTACAGATCGTGTGTAGCAGTTTGTAGCAAACTCAACATATTTTCGATATTATGTAGAATACACAACCGATCGACAAATATTAAAAATCCAGGATATTTTGTGCCGCTTTTTGTATGTCAAGGGCCATCGAAATGAAATAAATGACCAACAATGAATAGTATAATATATGTGATCGCTGTTCATCTATTTCCTTTCTACGATGTACAGGATTGCCTCGAAATAAGCAAGTGGCTCGAGACCTAACAGTTGCTTATTTCGAAGCAGAGACCACTTGCTTATTTCGAGGCAATCCTGTATTTCTTCCGCAAGAGACGGTTTCCTAACAATTTACAGTACAGTAAAATCTGGATATACATATGCAAGAGAGATGGGATCCAAGCGAGGTGTCGAATCTCGGGTTACGTGCGACGCCAGCCAAGCGTGAACGTAGAAAGCGACAGGCAGTGGAGGAGAGAGAGAGGTCAAATGATCAAACGAAAGAGCCGAAACATATCGGTGTGACTAATACTAATTCAGTTATAAAACATTTTTATTTTTGACTTTTTTTAAATGAAATTTTTACTGGCGTATTGGCCAGATTTATCTGATTAAAATGATACCAAACACGATATAGTTTGAATTGTAATTACTTGCTAAAATTGATGTTAAAAGTAGACGAAAAGTCAGAGAGATCGAATCAAAACATTGCATATGCATATCCGAGCGAGGTGTCGAAGTTTGATCGGACGTCTTGCATTATATGTACCCAGATTTTACTGTACTGTAAATTGTTAGGAAACCGTCTCTTGTGGAAGAAATACATCGTAGAAAGGAAATAGATGAACAGCGATCACCTTTATTATAATATTCATTGTTGATCATTTATTTCATTTCGATGGCCCTTGACATATAAAAAACGGCACAAAATATCCTGGATTTTTAATATTTTTCGATCGGTTGTGTATTAGACATAATATCGAAAACATGTTGAGTTTGCTACAAACTGCTACACCCGATCCGTACAGGAGACTGGTAAAATGCTGATTACTTAAGAAAAGCAGCCCGAAAATAAATCTGTTGTCAGATTTATTAAAATTTTTTTAGACAGATAACTTAGTATATTCTTTCAGCATAGAATGTGTTATTATGCTGGATTTTCCCGATTCTCCTGAAAGTGTGCGAGGCTGGCAGAACGACACAGCTCGAGCGAGTTCTTGAATGCTGGCGAACGTAGAAAAAGACAAATAGCGAAAGAGAAAGAGGTCCGAGAATTAAAGGGCACGAAAAGAAACATTTGAGTGAGACAATATTAATTTAACCATAACTATTTTTATTTTTCATTTTTGCTAAATGAAAATTTTACCAATGTAATTGTAAGGTTCTTCTGATTAAAATAAGACCTAACACGACATAATTTGCAATATATCTACTTATTTATTTAAAACCTAATGCAAATATATAAAGTAAGTATAATTCAAATTATGTCGTGTTTGATCTTGTTTTAATCGAAAAATTTCATCAATACGCTAGTGGAAGTTTCATTCAAAAGAAAAATCAGTCATTAGTCATTATAAAGCAACGAAGCGAAAGTGCAGCATAACTACACAGAAAACACATAAGGTTTATAGCAAGCTTAACATTTTCTATTGTATTATGGTAATCACTATATTATAGTTTTGTTTCCTTGTTGTATTATAGGAAAGTAAAATATGCAATATCGTATAAGCGTGGACCAGTTGCAATAGTTGCAAGAAACCTGATATGTATATAACAAATTAAATGAGGAATCAAGTTGTATCTAATATATCTTTCATTGTAATGACCATTCAGAGAATAAAATTATAATAGTTGTAAGGAATAAGAAATAAAACTAACAAACCGTTAAAGATTGAAATTTCTTTATATCCTTACAATTGAACCTAACCAATTTTCCTCGTATGTCTTCGGATTTACGTATTGTAATAGTTAGAATAACTGTAATATCTAATTGAAGAAATTACATCTGTATCACGTACTTTTATCATATGGACGTACATACATATGTATATATATAAAACTTAAATATTAAAAAAAATATCAAAGAAAGATGCAGTTCAACTCCTTCTTTTAACTGCTTCCCAGGTTAATGTATTTCATAGTATTAATGTATTAAAAATGTATTTTTATGTATTAAAAAAACGTTAATGCATTAAGAATCAGAACTGAAACCGTAGAATCGGGATTCGAACTGAATCTCCTGGTTTCTCACTTCTACCATATTGCCATGGACGAAATTATATTATTTTGTCGATTCGTCGATGCTGCTGCCACGTGCTTTAGCGGTTTGAGCATCGAGCCGATAACGTAGAAATGACGAAAGCAGCCGAACTCTGCCAAACCCGCAGAGCTCACACGGACACGTGGGACAACGCGCTTGTGTTAGATGAAACAACTGCGGTAGGGGAATCACTGGGACGTCGTGGGACGTCGTGGAGAGGGTAAAAATTTGTCCCACGTCCCACGGTTCTGGCATCACTGCTCCAAACTCCCGTATTTAATATTGTAACGAAAATTAGTTCACCCCCGGAATTCTAGGTAGCGCTGGTGTCGCTACAAACACATAGAAATGATATCAGTGAGATACGCACACAAGCATATGCTCCCTATATACGTGTGCATAGTCTTACCTATTCAAAACTTTGAAAAATAAAAATAATGAAAGGGAAAAAATTATAACAATATATGTGGAGTAATTTCCATAATACATTTCCATATATTAAACTTTTACTACAATAAAATAAATATATATATATATCAATAATAATATACAATTAATCACAATCATACATACAATAAAACACTCGTACCAAATGTCTCGAAAATCAGGTTCTCCACTCCCCTGGTGGTCAGGTTTAACTATAAGAACAAAATTATATAATATTATACATACACTTCATGCTAGAAGTATTATTATGTATACCTCAGTGTATTAATACCATGTTAATGCTTTTATATATTGTATATGTAAACTGAATACTTACAATCTTCTTCTTTTTCTTCTTTTCATTTGCATCCAGATGTCTTGTTGCTCTATTTTAATAAAGGCAGCCTCAGACACTGTAATAAATATTTTCGTTAACAATTATTTACATATGCTATAAAAATTATATAAGAGTTATTACCAAATAAGTTCAGTGCGGGAACTGCTGATGTTGTTAATCTTTTTCTCACAAAGTATTTTTCTTCAAAATAGCTGTTACAGATCATCCAGAAATTCAGTTTTCAAGTGGAAGCACTAACTTTGGGTTACCACGTACTTGCACCCACTGCGCCATCCTCTTCTTATCCTTTTTCTCTTGAGTGAAGGAGAACATCCTTTAAAGATACATTTTAATAATTAAAATTAAATACATACAGGGTGTCCCAGAACTGGGGTAGGAACGGAAGAGGAATGATTGGTGAGGTCATTCTAAACAACTTTTTCCTTTGCCAAAATGTTGGTTAAGGCTTCGTTTTCGAGTTATTAACGAAAAACACTGGCCAATCAGAGCGCGCCGTTAGCGCGGGCCGAACCACGAGAGTGTTGGGTATGTTCCGCGCGGTCGTGATCAAGTGCCTCGGCACTACGTCGGGATGATGGGATTCGTTGAGTAGAAGTTGCATCGGATAATGAGTAAAAAAAAGAAAAGAATAATTGTATCGAATTATTGATTACTCATGAACAACGAATCCTATTACACCGACGTGGTGCCGATGCACTTGATCACGACCGCGCGGAACATACCTAACACTCTCGTGGTTCGGCCCGCGCTAACGGCGCGCTCTGATTGGCCAGTGTTTTTCGATAATAACTCGAAAACGAAGCCTTAACCAACATTTTGGCAAAGGAAAAAGTTGTTTAGAATGACCTCACCAATCATCCCTCTTCCGTTCCTACCCCAGTTCTGGGACACCCTGTATATTACTAAAACACCAATGAAAACAGTTACTGTTTTCAGTAACAATTTTAAACAATTCTGTACTTACTTAATTTCTATCTTCTTCTGCTGTTGCTGCATCTCATCAGTAGAAGTTATTAAAAACCTAAAAACCTAGAAAAAACTTTAAAAAATATCTTTTTAAATAATAATAATAGTCATAATAATAATAATAGTAATTATTATAATAATGGAATTCACGAACCTGGAAATTCAGTCACCCACGCTGCCACCATGTGCAACCATGTGCGCCATAATTCTTTTGTCTCTTTAAATTTTGAAACAATTGAAAAAGCGGCGACAAATTTCGCGGGAACATGACGTCACGATATCTTTAGTTGTGTATGTTAAAATCAGTGATACAAACAATGCATGTAGAGAAGCGACATCAGCGCCGCCTGGAAGTCCGGGGGTGAGTTAAAATTTGCATCAAATTCACAAGAGTGGAGCTTGGAGGGCCTGGTCGAGCGGGAATCACCCTAACCTAACATAACCTAACCCTAACCCTAACCTAAACCTTCTTTTTTTTTTAAATAGAAGAGGAAATGCATTTATGCACGCGCAGGCTGATTCCCCTTTCGTCTAGTCGGCTAGAGGGGGCCCGGGCAGTGTGGGATTCATACCCGCCCTGATGGGGCAGCCTGGCGCCCGTTTGGTGGGGGCAAACCCAAAAAGGCAACCCCAGAAGGGGGCAACCTGGCAACCCGACCCTATGGGTGGGGTTTAGTCCAAGAGTAGGTCACAGCCCAGAAGGGGCGACCTTGAACGGGTAGTCCAGAAGGGACAGTCCCGTGGCTGGGTATACTACCCACTAAAACCTCTCCCCTACGTGGGCCGCCGGTACCTTTTCATCCTTTGGGATATATAAAGAATACCAGCGTATAGCCACAACGGCGCTTTGGCAATTCAACGCGTTTCGCGTTATTCCGTCCTCCCGCAAACCACCATGCGCTAGGCAACCATGGGGGATTGCGGATCCGCGCCGTTGCACCTCCGATCAAGCGGTAGGTCATTTTCAACCTGAGCAGTACACGCAGGAATTTTTCTTCAACAACGGTCGGCATGGGGCATCCTCCAGGATCGCGCCTTCCCAAGTGATCGCACCACCTCTTCGCCTGCCTAGCACTCATTTGCCAGGACAGGGGTTCTTCTTTGGTCACGATCAGGAACCGGGACATCGTATCTCCACGGGTGATCGTGCCATGTCTTCGTCCACCAAGGTAGGTTGATAATGATGATGTGGCACTTGCCAGGACAGGGCTTCTTCTTCAGCACGGCCAGGACAGGGACATCGTATTTCCACAGTTGACCGTGCCTGTCTTCGTCCACCTGGTAGGTTGCTGATGATGTGCATTGTCCCTGAGGTCATCACGCCCATCTGACCTTTCACGAGGACAGGCCCTTTTTCTTCGGCCACGATCAGGAACCGGGAAATCCTTCCCCCGGTTGACCGTGCCACGTCTTCATAGGCTGCTATCCTCGATGACTTGTTCCATACATACTCCACGCACACACGCACCAGTCCTAACAAGCATAGCGCATCAAATGCCCAAACAACCCAAGTAAGTAAGAGGAGCCGTGCAGAATACCCATAAAGAAAGTAGGCACATGTGAACCCGGCATAATACGAGTAAACTTGTTCAGAAGCGTCAGCAGTAGTACCAATCATCAACACTGTTGCGATGAAACATGATGTGAACCAGGCTGTAACTAGCTTGTAAAGACAGTTGAATGAGGAAACTGAAGCGCGTTAAATTTGAATTATAAAAGAAAATCAATTTTGCGTTATCAAATTGTTATCAGGGATTCCTTATCAGTAGCTCGTTTAGAAGAAGAAAATCGGCTTATCGTTATCAAAATGTTTATTAAGGACTAAATTAATGAGCGTTGCTAACGGCAATTTACTTAACGATCAGCAGCTATAAATAAGGGATCCTTCCAGAAAATTTTGTCCTTTGTTCTTTGTAAACGCTTAAGAGAAGAACTCGTATAAAATATTAATTTACAATTCAATTTGTTGTTCTCGTTCAAATATATTAAAGTTAAAGTTAAACGTTAATAAAAGTTCAGTTCATTTTAAAAAGTTAAAAGTTAATTTTTCTTTTTCTTAAAAATTATTATCGTGAGCAGAGTGCTTTAGCGCTCCACGGGCGGCTTACCCACGTTCCTTGGATTTGAAAATCCCTAGAAGAACGAAGAATCACGCAACAACACCAAGCACGTGGCGCCATCGCGCCGCCAAATCGACCGTCACAATAAATAAGAGAGGAGAAGACCCCAAAATAATCAATAAATAACACGAACTCAAGGTAAATATACCTTCAGTATATTAAATATCTTAAATATATAATAAAGAAGCAGACAAGAATAACCATTCTAAACATGTTTACAGGAGATTCCCTAAAAGGAAAAGGAAAACTTAGTCCGCACCGCTCTCAACGGGGAAACGTCCAATGATCAGTGATCCGTCGATAATTGCCGAGAAACCAGTCAAAATCAAAATTCAAAACTCAAAACACAAACTTTATCCCATGTAGATATAGGCGGCCACGCATTGTCGCGAGACATTACCATTGTAAGCACTTACCATGGAGCAATCAGTTGCATACCCCAAAATTAAAGATTAGAGCGATAACAAAATATAATCTACAATAAGAAAAGAGTTTAAATTATGTAAATTCGACAGAATACAAGGAATAGCATGTACAACCGAAATTGAGCAAAATATAGCTTACATAAACCATCATAACGCCCTAGATTATTATACCGCCAACCCAGTATTAATATATTAAATATTAGAATAAGGAATTTAAACTTTAATTTCCAAACAAGTGACACAGCGCAATGCATCATGTAAATGCTACCAGATCATACAAAACACAGCATTATCGTGACCCTATTTGCATATCCCTGGAGGAACTTAATACTAAAAGTACTGAAAGTACAAAATAATAATGAAAGATAGAAGATTACCAGTGACCAGATCATAGAATGACGAGCCCTGCTGTACTAATGCAATAATAAGGAACGATTACAGCAAGATAGTCAAAATAAATTAAATTTGAAGTTGTGGAACTTAAAATATGATCTATGCAAAGTTAAAATTAACTCCTTGTATTCCAGTCAAAGTAAACCGCTCCCAGATCCCGTCAAGACTAACTGAAATCCAAACACACCATGTAGGCAGTAGTTAATAAAATAATCGTAATTAAAGTTAAATTGCTGTTGGCAAAAGAGTAGTAAAACAAGCAACTGTACCAGCGAGAGTAGACAAGTTAGTTAGGGAAGTACAATAGTAAATACTACAACACACAATCAACATCCAAATTAAATCAGCCACACAACACTGCGTTGAGCTCTGCTGCATTGAGTAATAACTAAATAAATAAGTAATGAAGTAACCGATAATCGAGCAAGAGTGCCAAAAGGGAAACAGAGTAATCCGTTAGAGCGCAAACATCAATTACTAACAGAATACAAACACAAACATTGCTGTGCTTGCTTACTTTAACTACTAAACTATGTCAAAATGGGTAGCGAAGAACGCAAAACAATACATACAATATCGTGCAAAAGCGAATTAAGTAAATGTAAAATTTATAACATATAGTATGTATATGGATTAATATGATCAAACACAACATAATAGCGACACCTAAGTCACCTTATAACACAATGCAACAGAAAACGCAGCAGTTCACACACGCCAAGGGTTAATAAATTAAAATAATGATTTAATAGTTCAAACAATTCAATTCAAAGTAATTATATTCCATTTACAGCCAAGCACCTGACAGGCGCCAGAGCAGAAGTAAACAGACATACATAACCGATGAGCATAACGATGAAGATAGGAAACCGAGCAGAACGTAGGAAATAATGACCATAAACTATATGAATCCATTGTTCAAGATCAATTCAGTAATTTATTTCGTAGTAAAATAAAATAATAAATAAGCAATGAATGTCGGGAACACCCAATGCTCACGAGAAGAAACAAATACCCAACATATGCTTTGATAATGTTGCGTGTCCGTTCGCGGAAGATAGGGATATTTGGGGATTTTAAGTGCAGGTGTAAAAACCCGTGGAGCGCGGAAGCGCTTCGCTCTCAAGGCGCGGATGTGCAAATTAATAAAACTATTAATAATTCGGTTTGCTGGTCTTTAATATTTCAAAGTTCAATTTTAAACAGATCTTATGAGCCTTAAGAATTTGCTGTGCGAGAACGATCAAGCGACGAAATCATTCTGAACGTTCTACGCTTGGCGGAGGAGATCTTCGCGCGTTGTCGGTCGATGCCCCTTCCTTGGTGGATCCTGGATCCTCCCTCAGGATCATTCCTCATCCAATGGTGGAGGAGTCCACTCCGTCCTGTGTGGGCCCCTTCTCCTGGCCATGGTCCATCCTCAGGGGCGTGGAAGTGGAGGCGCTTCGCCAAGACGCTAGAACGTTGCAGCGCACATGTGCTACGAGAAAGCGTGGGACCCAGAGAAATTAAGAAACGACAAGACCTTGTACTTGCCAAAGCAACTCTTGAGGAAATTTACGACCCTCTTAGAGTGCATGAAAAGACAAGATATCGAAAAAGACTTCGTAGCTTTTAAGGACCGTTCGTGACTTGGTCGAAAACAACGAATTGGCTATGATCTATCATAAATTAGTTTTTTAGGAATTTTCGAAGTGAAACTATTCCATTCTCTGGACTTCTGGCCTTCTCTCAGCTCTATCACCCACGTCGAGGGGTTTACAATTTACTCTTTGTCTATTTATATAAGGGTACGCATAGACGATGTTTGGATTTCGCTCTTAATTTATGACCACCGATACAATAGGTCCTCGAAGAACATTCAAAAGATATCGATACAATAGACTATCGATAAATATTCCCATGGCAGTGTCGCCACACCACTCTAAATATATTCACGTGATAACGTTTCACGTTACATTGTCATTTTGTTGTTACGTTTCCCGTAGCGGTTTTAGGGAGATTCTGGGGAAAAGGTTCCAGGAACGTGGGTTGGCTGCCCGTGGAGTGTAGAAACACTCTGCTTGGTGCGCGCCAGAACTAAAACTTCTTACTTTCGAAGTGATAGGTTTTAATAAAACGTCAAGATTGAACGGAGTCAAGAATTGTTCTGCTCTGTATTTCAAAAACGCGTTACAAGGTAAGTTCGCGGAGACGTAGCGTGGGGGTTGTTTTACATGATTGGTGGAGGGCGGTAACAAGAATGGTTGTTTTGGTTGGCCGAATTTGTAGCAGGGAGTTCGAGGTGGCCGCCCGCTTGTGACGTAGCGATGTTTGGGGGAAAACCCCGAGGTTTTTCCAAGGGTCTTCTACCTTCGGCTGGTCGACGTCGATGTTTCCCGTTCAGGACCGCTAGCCGCGGCAAAGCAATAAAGTTGACGACAACAACCGTACCTTAGGGCGACGGTGAATAAAGCAATCTATTATCGATAATAAACACGGGGAAAACTGCGACTTGAAAGGAAGTTCGTGAATTTAAATTATCGCTCGTCGCGGATGGCCTGGAGTTCGAAAAACGAAGGTCATAAACGTTTACGGTGGTAAAGTTTCTTTGAAATTAACATAGTTTAGGATTGTTTTATTAGAGTCTAACGGGATAATTCGGAGCTATTTCGCGAGGTGGCGTGTCGATGAAATTTCGCGATAGCGTTAAGCCTCGTACTGACCTGTGCATTTATGCGCCGAAAACGTTCGTTCGGGCAAAAATGCTGAAGTGAGTATGGCCCGTTAATGTGTTCGCGAAGGCCCAGAGCACGAAGGAACGCTTTTTGACCGCTGTAGCCTCGTACTCACTAGAGCATTCGTGCGCCAAAAACGACCCGTTATGAGTTCGCAAAGGCCCTGGGCACAAACGAACGCTTTCCGACGGCTGTCGGTCCATCAAAGGATATTCGTGGGAACAATTTTACTGTGCCGGTTACAAATTTCCAAGTACCGTTAGTCGACCGCTGTCGAATTTACCCTTCGGAAAATCTCAGTTTATGATATGGCCTGATGAACCGTCATAAACTGATTTTTGAAATCCAGAACAATTTTTGATATTAATTGTTTGGATATTTTAAACAGATACTGAAGGCTTGTATATGAATCTCCCGTTGCTAAAAAACGTAGCGTTATAGCTAAGCGTTCTTTCACCGTCATTTCAGCTTTTCTGAATCTGGTGTCGTTTTTTTGAATTTTGGGACCGATAGCGTTTATTAAAAATTCCAAATCTTCCGATAACATCCGCACAAAATTTTTAAAATGTCCACTAGCTTCTATCTGTAAATCTCTAACTAGTTTTTCACCACTAGAGGTTGCTCTATTTTTATACATCTGACTAATCTACCATAGTTTATCTTGATTTTTCTTCTTCATTTTCTTTTAATTATTGTGTTCATAATAATATACGCTGCACTGGCGATTGTGACATCTGTTCCTGTCGACATTCCGACTTCGACTGGTTTACGATAGAAAGAACCTTTCTATATAGAACCCAGATACAAAGGTTTACGGTACCCCAGGTAGAAAGATTTGCGCGAACAGCCGAAGAAATTTCACGTTCGTTCGCCGAGAGCATTCGTTTGGGCAAAATGCCCAAATCAGTACGAGGCTTTACAATATAAACATTTTTGCGAATCGTATGTCCAAATAGAGACCAGAGTGCCCTTCTTTGGGGCGGATAGAACAAAACGAGCACCCAAGGGATGATGTACAAGCCTCGAGGTAGACGAAATTTGTGTTATAAGATTTTCACTCGCGAAAAACGTCAAAAAGGTAAAACAGACCACAAATTTAGTTCCTCGTTTTTTCTGTAGGGCGCAGTTCGTTCGTTTTCTGCGCTCGATCGCACGCGCTCATTCGCAGCTCATATATGTTAATATGTGTGCGTCGACCGAACCGTCGACGACGATACAATGTATCGTGGAGAATGTGAAGTTCGATCCTAGAAGAGGCGATGAACTCCGACGCGTGAATTTCTTTTTCACGCGACGTTCTATCGATTACGATATCGCTTTTCAACCCACGTGTCAGGAGATGTACTATCATTATTTTTTGTTGCTATTATTATTCTTTTTTTTGGTGAAACTACAGAACAAATACGTCCTTCCCGATTTCGATGATTTTTGGATATGTTATAAAAATTATTATACATATAAGGAGCGTTCTCGCTTAATTTCAGAGATATTCGCAAAAAGCTGCCGATATAGATGCATTGAATTTTGCTTATAGTTGTTGATCTGTGACAGCATACATATACGTCAGATTGTTTGCCATTTTTTTCTGTTTAGAAACGAGGGTCGAGCGAGAGTAAAGGTTTCGTTCACAACTGCATATACCAGACTCCAAGAAATAAAAAAACGTTGCCAGCCGCTTTACGGCAGTCGAATTCTAACCCATCACATCAATAATATTCACTTCTAATTGAATTTCAGTACATACACATTTCTTGAAGTCTCGTATATGCAGTTATGAACATAGCCTTTACGGTCTCCGACCTTCTTTCTAAACAGAAGCCAAATGGCCAGCGGATGGCAACTAACACTTATGTATGTGACGCAGATGCACATCTATAGGCAGAATTCAATGTGTTATATCGATAGTTTTTTGATGGTTTTGAAATATTGCTTTGACCCGCTCGTCACCGACATTCACACTTTGTTATTCCTCTCTTTCGCACACATCCTCTCTCTCCCACACTCGCATACTGAACATTACTGTCTAGAAAGGAAATACAT